GCAAAGATGAATGCAGTTAATAGACTGTGACGCAGCCATTAACTACAGCTGTAATGGAATCAAGCAGCCATTTTCCCCCTCAGCAAAGGCAGGCACAGGTAAATGTGTAAAGACCAGTCGCTGTTGAGGCACCTGTCTCCTCCTTTCTCCCTCTCGTTATGTTTCTTTTATCTCATCCTTGCACTGTCCCTCCCCCCCCTCCTATCCCATGCATCAGCCCCACCCGCCCCGCCCCTTTTCAGTCCCCACTCTCTCGTGGCGTCGCAGTCGTCCTTGAACCTTCCGTCAGCATCCACACCAAACATCACAGCCAGCAGATAAACGTCCAGTTGTCCATTTTCCTGCTGATACTCCGCCGCCGCCAGACAGATCCTGTGACGTCTGCTTTTACCCTGTGTCTTGGGGATAAAATGTGACATCGCTCCCCACGCACACACTCCCCTACTCTCTCCTATAACCCCCATTTGTAACTCCTTGTGTATTCCTGTATGAAATTACCGCATTGATCGGCGAAATTGTCATTTATGGTCGAGCTCTAGAGTTTCGGGAGATAATGGAAGGCTTGTTATCCACCAACCAGGACAGAAAATCGTTTGAAAATGGAGAGGAGTCATATCTGCACGATGATGATACCCGTGTATGAACAGTGCGGGGAGGATTCATTGAAAGCTTGTATTTCATTTCATTTTATTTCCCCCTATACCTGTGAAAATAGTTTATTTTTCCTTTTTGAAACAAACTGACTTATAAAACAGAAAATAGACACTGTTCATAATCTTCATCTTACCCGTGTCACAACCTACGCTTTCCTCTTCCTCCCAGGCCTCTGCACCTACAGATATAAAGCAGAGGAGTGTTGTTTGCATCCAGAGGGAGGTGAAGGGGTTCAGTTGCTGTTGCGCTTACAATTGTGATGCTCCTCGTCTCCTTTCTCCTCCTGCAGATGACTGACATACATACATGCATACATAGTGTGGCAACATACTACCTTCAACACTAGAGATGGTTATACTACCGTTTGTATATGAATAAGTGTTCCTTTGATTCTTAAGGACATTCTGGATAAACGAGACTTGGATGATAGCGAATGAGTTGTGTGACATGTTGCTTAATTTCCTGCATCTAACCCTTAACTATCTTATTCGATATTTGTATACCAAACATTATTCTGATCTGTGTTTGCATGTCTGATCCATGTGCACTGTCAAAAAAAAAGAAAGGTACAACAAAAGTCATTTTTCGACCCGTTCCCTGTTTTCCCACCTTTCTCCATCACACCAGTCGATCCTGACCAAATCATTGAAATGTGCCTGCCTGTAGCTGGGCATGCCGGTGTGCACATCTCTCCAGTACAGCACAGCATCAATACGAAACACCGTCTCCTAAACATAACGACGTTAGCTCTGTAACGAGATATGCCTTTGACCATTGACCACTGCCTCGGCTCTTGTCGGCTCATGGATAAACTGATTAAATATTTAAAAAAATGAAACGCTGCTGTTGATATGCCATGTAGGCTGTCACCCTTGGAGATGTGCTTTATATAAAAAATAACCTGCATCTCATGACAATATGAGAAGAATATGTGCTGAAAAGATTTGTGACTTTTGCTGCGCCTTTGGTCTTGAAGGACAGTATCGGATTTCAGCGGCTTGTGAAGCAGTTGATGACATTTTTGTCAGAACCAACTTGCATGATGGGAGAATATTATCACAAATGTTCCAAAGTTATGCTTTAAAAGCTTCAAAACAAAAGACAAAACCACAAAACTCTTTGAGGGTTATTTTAATGCAGGCGAACAGGGACATATTTCAGAAATGATTAAAGGTGGATGAGCTACATCCTGTCCAGCTGACAACAATCAAAGTGATGTGATTTGTTTTTCTCTGCTTGGTGTTTATCAGAGCTGTGTAGCTGCTTCCTGATTAATCAGACTCACCTGTTTTGGGCCCATCTGGGACTGGACAAACTGAGCGGTGCATCATTACCTGGTCTGATTAGGCCTGGATGGCTGCAGACGGCCACCACGGAGCTCTGCACCTGCTCCTCCATGCCAGGTAACACCGCATCATGACGTTCTCCTTCATTTAGCTGCTTGTCCATCTCTACCTCCCTCTTGTAATCATTTCTCCTCTTTCTTTGGATTTGTGTATTTCCCTGAGATGAATGCAAAATGTGTAAAGTTTAGACGCAAACCAGACCAAAGTGAAGACCGATGTTGACGTCTCAGCGCTGCTGTTTGCCGACGAGTAAATCAAACTCAACTTGTCCTTCCACCTACTGTCCCCCCATCAGGTGTTACGAGTCATTGCTCTCCGGAGCACAATCCACCACTCTGGCTGCTTATGTGGCTGCCTGCTCCGGCATTTAGTAGACTTGTAAATGATGTCATCCGCAACGCGCGCACACACACACACACACACTCAAGGCCTCTGTCGTCTCTTGTGTTAGTCAGACAGATGGACAATTGCAGCGCTGAAAATTGGGGTTTGCTCACATTCTGCAAACAGTCACACACGGAAACACACCTGCGCTTTGACTCGGTCTCGGCACAGAAATGCCCTTGAGTAAGATACTGTAAAAAAATGGCACGTTTATATTAGCAATTGTCTCATTTCCATTACACCGTGTCCATATTTAATTCATTAAGCTGTTGGTATTTACATCGGGTAAGTCATTTGAGCCTTTATAATGCGGGGCTTCTTTCTGCAAGGTTTTTTTTTTTGATCAGAAAACAACCGAGTGCAGTCTGAAGTGGGAGGAAATGTTGGCACCATGGCAGTAGAGGAAAGTGCCAACTTCACAAAAACTACTTGGCTTGCAAAAGAATAACCAACCGATACGGTTAAAAATAATTCGGGGAGATATTGAGACTGAGAAGAACAACTGCATCCTATGATGCCTGCTGGGAGAGGACCTTTTACCTGCTTATGTACACAACACATACATGCATTAAGTCATATTGTTAAAAGAATGCCTCCTTACAACCTGTTGGCTTTGGTGCAGACACACATGCATTCACACGCAAGAGAGGAGACATAATATAGTGAGTGAAAAGCAAGCGCACGCACACACACAGAGAAAGGAGCAGTAAGCCACGCAGGCTCACCTTGCTGTGTACTCTGTGAATGAGATGTAAATGTGCCTATCACCTTGCCACCACAAGATCCCACTGTGATCAAAGCATTTCTCAGAGACATGACTCACAGTGAAAATCTGCTCTGTAGAATATCACTGCAGGTGGAGACACGGGCATTTTAATTACTGTGTGTGTGTGTGTGTGTGTGTGTGTGTGTGTGTGTGTGTGTGTGTGCAGGTATCTTTTGTGCTCATATTTCGTGCTCTTGCATTGGAGCATTTCTTGCACAGTGCATGCGGGTTCAGTTCTGTGTGAGTGTGTGTGTGTGTGTGTGTGTGTGTGTGTGTGTGTGTGTGTGTGTGTGTGTGTGTATGTTAGCAGGCTAAAGTGTGACTCCACGCTGCCAAAGGTATCTCAAAGAGGCAGGTGGATCTCTTAGAAGAATCTTTTTTGCAGCAGCAGCAGCGCTCAGAGGCTCAGCCACCTGCTGTTTACACTACATTCCTCCAGACCATAAAGCATATCATGTCGGTCTTTGTGTCAGCATATTTAACTAGAGTTTCAGCCTCCTCCATATGCGGTGTTCTGGCCCCTTTTGACTTATTTTGTAGTTCACCTTTGCGAAATCATTTGAGTGTGAAAGATTTGTGCGAAATGTATCCGGGCGGGCGATGGATATTAGCAACTTCATAAATGGTTCATGACACCGACACAACAACGGTAAATGAGGACCATGCCTCAGAGGCAGCCCAGAGAGGGAGAGAAAGTCCGCGGTGTCTTGAAGATAGTCAAACAATTTTCAAGACCAGCAACTTTCAAGTCTATAAAAATTGATCTGTTTGTCATGAGAGGAGACCCATTTGGGATTTCTCGAGCGTGAAATCTTTGTGAAATGGGTGTATCAATCAGAAGAAACGGAGAGACAGATTGAAAGATGATGGAGGGAAAGAGCGAGATGAGAGAGGAGTGGAAGAGCCAGAGAGAGGAGTGGAAGAGCCAGAGAGAGAGAGAGAGAAAAAAGACTATCGCTTTAATTTAGTCATTGTTTCAGCTTTCCGAAATCCTTTCAATAAGAAAGGCAGTCTTCCAGGCCCCCCCCCCCCCCCCCCCCCCTCTCTCTCTCTGAGCTAAGAGGAGCAGAATATCGCTGCACTGTTCGAGCAGATACGAAAAGCACTCGGCTCCCGTTACATGTACAAGTGTATGATATCTTGTATCGTCTACAACGCGGGGCTGCTGTTCGGAGGATTGCTTTGTGTTCCACAGTATTGGCGTGCGATTGAATCTTCAGCATCCAATAGGCTGATTCTTCTCAACGAGCATCTTCTCCTGCCAGAAAACCTCGTTCACTATTATTAATGTTCAACATCAAAGTCACATTGTAATCTCAGTCACGGGCTACAGTTGTTCGCGTGTACAGAACTCACTAAGAATCATACAAGTATTCTAGGTTGATGATGAGAAACCCAATGAACTGTCCACAGTTTACAATGACGGGGCATACGGGACATACGCAGCAGATAAACAGTTTAATCCATTCCTTAAAGTTTCTCTCTTGTGTATTTGGTTTCTGAAAGTTCAAAGCCACCATCCTCCAAACTCTTTAAATGCAGCATATTGCTCTTGTTTGAGCCACATGAACACCGTGTCGGCTTGAGAAACCCAATACTTGGTATCTGCTGTGCTACGGATTAACGATTTTTGCTGAAATGCGATATTTTCCAATTCATTTTGGCCGATACAGATATGTGCACATAGTTTTCTTCTACCTAATTACAGAGGTTATTAAGTCGCTCCTGTGGTGGAATTAGAATATTATCATGCATAGTACTGGTATCATGATTGCCCACTAGATGCAGACATAACATACAATGCTTTTCAGAAAGTACACCTTCACTGGGCAAAATAAGAACATGACTTCAACCATATTTACTTTTATGTAACACATCTAGAGCAACAACAGTGTTGTTTACAACAGCAAAGTCAAAATATAAACTCAAAATCTAACAGGAAACAAATCCAAAATGTCAATATGATCAAATATGATTAGCACTAGATAATTCCTTAGAAACCGTGATGAGCTCAGACATCGGTCAATCATCCTGTCCTCCCTCTGCTGATGTGATTCACTGCCTACAGGTACTGCTGGTAGATGGGGGGGCTGCTTTGTCTCAGCCAGCAGCTAAGTTAATAAGGATTTTCTAAATTTGAAGATGCGTGACAAACTAAACTGTTAAACTACACCGACTGCTTTTGTTGCTGCTTGTTTGTAACAGTCCACTATTAGCCGAGCTAGCGGAGCTCATCAATACTTGTGGCTTTTAGGCTTGTCTGTGTGTACATGTATGAATAAATAAAAGGCCTTTTATTAAAGCGGCAAAGGACTAAAAAAAAACAAACAGGCATTTCAGCTTTTGATATCTTTCGAATTTAAACTCTTCTTCATTTGTACTCTTAAGTACCTAAAAATATAGTGTTTACATTTTTTAGTAGTGGTTTATGCATCCATTACTAACTGCTAAGTCAAGTTTAGCACAAAACCACCGGTTCATCTTAGAGGGACAAGAGATTTTCTGCATCACGGATATGGGTGTCGTCATTCTGTAAATGTTTGCTGCACCTCTTAAGGACGAATGGGATGGATCTTGTTTGTCAGGTACAAACAAGGAAAATCACATCAGTGGGACAATAAGTAGGAGCTGAACTGGCAGCAATGTCAACAAACCTGAAGAAGCTGCTGTCAACCTGCTCTATTATGTCTTAAAAGAACAATCGTCACGAGCAATGATTGAAATGCTTCACGAGGTCAAGAGTCACCGTTGCTCAGCATCACTCTACACTACGGTTGCTTTCTGGTCCTCTGCGCTGCCACGCCTCCACTCTGAATGTCTGTCATGCTCTCTCAACGCTGCGAGTGGGTTTTCAGGATCAGCAGTACGATGGTCGTATGCTGCCTCTGTCTGAGAGGAGCATTCAGTCTACAACAATGCATCCTTACTGGAAGCAATGAGCTGCCATGGAGACGTGATGACGAGCCAGAACCACGCTGTCCAGCCATTATGTTCATAAGACCACCTCACACACCTTCATGGAAAATATGAGCAACTGTGAAACATGACCTCGAAAGGTATTATGATCATATTTATGACTTAGAACTGTTGGTATAAGGCATCATTACCGCCATATACCACTATTACTGATGCTATTGACATTATTTTTGACAACATAACTTCCTGTAGCGGAAGTGATTGATCTGTTCAGTCAAACTGAGCTGACGGCTTGACATCGTTCAGAGGTTTTTTTCACATTATATCTGAGCTCAAAGCACTCCATGTTGACAGGAATAATTGGTTAAATGGTCAATTCACCAAAACTTCAGCAGTAATATGTCATTTCAGAAACAATGTCCCCATTACCTGGGATAATCCACAGACCTCAGTGTGAACAGTTTTCATTCAAACTAATTCCTACTGAAGAAATGGGACCTATTTTCCTTTTTTTCTAAATGGGATAAATGGTGGTAATGGTTGACATCTGAAGCCCACACAGTGATGGTTTTGTACAAATTTGAGCGATATTACAAATATTGCACCAATAAAATTGCCCATACGGTCGATGGCAACAATTCACGCCTCCTGGTGAACTGTTTGTCGGAGGCGCTTTCACTGGTGAGAAATCGATTGCATTATTGGTATTTACAGTTTGGACCAAATACTGTTAAGTGTACAACTAAAAACAAAAACCTGCGTGTGAACTTATATACTACTTTCATAGAAAAAAATAATTTGTATTTCACTGTGACTCTAAATGTCCAATTTATACAGTATGAGTGACTAGATACCATTCAAGGTAACTAGAGACCATCTTACGACCAGCCACAACGCCCAAATAGGTCCAGGAGTGTAACAATGGGGCGACCAATGGCCCCTTCCCAACTTCATACCTCCAGCGTCCTTACTTGGTCCACACCCATCTTCG